CCATTAGGCTGTCAGCTGATTTCTCAACAGTAACTTTTATAGGACAAAAGGGATTGGCATAAAATTTATTCAAAGTGATGAAAAGTAAGGACCTACAACTAAGATTACTCTACCTAGCAAGGCTATCATTTTGAGAGATAAAGAGCTTCCCAGAAAAGGAAAAACAGAAGTTCATCGCCACCAAACCAGTATTATAAGAAATGTTAGAGAAGAAGGAGAGGAGAAACAGAAGGAGAAGAAGAGAAGGAAAAAGAAGGAAGAAAAAGGAGAGGGAGGAATAAGAAAAATAAAAAAATATGAATAATAAAATGGCAATAACTACATACCTATCAATAATTACTTCAAAATGAATTAAATGCTCCAATCAAAAGACAGGGTGGCTGAATAAATAAGAAAACAAGACCCATAAATATGCTGTCTACAAGATACTCCCTTCGGGTACTTTCGCAGACTGAAAGTAAAGGGATGGAAAAAGATATCTGATGCAAATGGAAATTTAAAAAAGCTTGGATAGCAATCATTATATCAGCCAAAATAGACTTTAAAACAAAGGCTAAAACAAGAGACAATGAAGAACATTTCAAAATGATAAAGGGATCAATCCAACAAGAGGATATAACCCTTGTGAAAATTTATGCACCCAACATAGGAGTACCTAAATATATAAAGCCAATATTGACTGGCATAAAGGGGGAAATGGATGGTAATACACTTAATAGTAGGGGACTTTAATGCTCCAATGACATTAATGGATAAATCATTCAGACAGAAAATCCAAAACGAAACAGCCTTAAATGACACATTAAATCAAATAAATTTAATTGAGATTTTTAGAACATTTCACCCCAAAGCAGCAGAATATACTCTTCTTAATTACACATGAAACATTTTCCAGGATAGACCACATGTTAGGCCAAAAAACAAGTCTCAATAAATATAAAAGATTAAAATCATATGAAGCATGTTCTCCAACCACAATGGTATAAAACTAGATATCAGTTACAAGAAGAAAACTGAAAACAAAACAAAACAAAACAAAACACAAACACATGGAGTCTAAATAACATGCTACTAAACAATGAAGGGGTTAACGAGATCAAGGAAGAAATCACCGGATACCATGAGACAAATGAAAATGAAAACACAAGAACCCCAAATCTATGGAACACAGTGAAAGCAGTTATAAGAGGGAAATTCATAGCAATATAGGCCTGTCTCAAGAAACAAGAATAATCTCAAATTAACAATCTATCCTTATACCTAAAGGAACTAGAAAAAGAACGAACAAAGCGCAAAGTGAGTAGAAGGAAGGAAAAAATAAAGATCAGAGTGGAAATAAATAAAATAGTCTAAAGAAAACAATGAAAAAGATCAATGTAACCAAGAGCTAGTTCTATAAACTTTCAGCCAGATTCATCAAGAAAAAGAGAGCCCAAATAAATAAAATCAGAAACAAAAGTGAAGATGTGACAACTAACACCAGAGAAATAAAAAGGAATATAAGAAAATACTATGAATAATCATATGCCAAATAATTTGACAATCTGGAAGAAATGGATAAATTCTTAGAAACATGCAATCTTCCAAGAATGGGTAAAGAAGGAATAAGAGATCTGAATAGACTGGTAACTACTAATGAAATTGAGTCAGTAATAAAAAAAAAAAAAATCCCAACAAACAAAAGTCCTGGAACAGATGGCTTCATAAATGAATTTTATCAAACATTCAAAGAATTAACACATACACTTCTCAAACTATTCCAAAAAACTGAAGAGAAGGGAAGGCTCCCAAGTTCATTTTATGAGGTAAGCATTACCCTGATTCCAAAACCAGAGATATTACAAAAAAAAAAAAAAAAAATTACAGGCTATTATCCCTGATGAACATAGATGCAAAATTCTCAACAAAATATTAGCAACCGAATTCAGTGATACATTAAAAATATCATATGCCATGATCAAGTAGGATATATTAACGGGATGCAAGAATGGTTCAATATTTACAAATCAATTAATGTGATACACCACATAAACAAAATGAAGGATAAAAAATCATATAATCAAATCAATAGGTGCAGAAAAAACATCTGACAATATTCAGCATCCGTTTATGATAAAACTCTCAGCAATGTGGGAATACAAGGAACATACCTCAAAGGCCATATATGACAAACTCACAGCTAACAACATACTCAGTGGTGAAAAGCTAAAATCGCTTTCTTTAAGATCAGGAACAAGACAAGAATGTCCACTTTCACCAGTTCTATTCAATATAGTACTGGAAATCCTAGTCATAGCAATCAGACAAGAAAAAATAAAAGGTATCCAAATTGGGAAGGAAGGAGTAAAACTGTCATTATTTGCAGATAAAATGACACTATACAGAAAGTGACCCTAAAGAGTCCACCAAAACACTATTAGAACTAATAAATGAATTCAGTAAGTAGGGGACACAAAATTAATATTCAGAAACTGGTTATATTTTTAAGAGAATTTAAAAAAGCAATCCCATTAAATAGAAAAGAAAAAAATCCATTTATAATTGCATAAAAAGATACCTAGAAATAAATTTAACCAAGGAGGTTAAACAGTTTAATTGATAAATTGTAAGACAATGAAAAAAGAAATTGAAGAAGATAAAAATAAACATAAGCATACACTATGCTCATGGATAGGGAGAATTGACATTGTTAAAATGTCCATATCACTCAAGGCAATCAATGTACAGATTCAGTGCTATCCCTATCAAAATACCAATGGCTTTTTCACAGAGCTAAAACAAATAATCTTAACATGTATATGGAATCTCAAAAGACCTTGAATAGCCAAAGCAATCTTGAGAAAAAAGAACAAGGTTGGAGGTCTCATGCTACCTGATTTCAAACTATACTACAAGGTTATATAGTGCAAAACAACATGGTACCGCCATAAAAATAGACACAGATCAATGGAACAGAATAGAGTCCAGAAACAAACCCACACTTATATGGTCAACTAATTTATGACAAAGGAGGCAAGAATATACAATTGGGTAAAGATAGTCTCTTCAATAATGGTGTTGGGAAAACTGGACAGATAGATGCAAAGAAATGAAACTAAACCACTTTCTTATACCATATACATAAATAAACTCAAAATGGATTAAAGACTTAAAGATTTAAATATTAAGACTTAAAACCATCAAACTCCTAGAAGAAAACAGGCAATAAGCTCTTTGACATTGGTCTTAGCAATTTTTTTGGATATGTCTCCTAGGGCAAAGACATCAAAAGCAGAAATAAAGAAATGGGACTATATCAAACTAAAAACTTTCTGCACAGTAAAGGAAACCATCAACAAAACAAAAAGCTTATTGAATGGGAAAAGATATTCTCCAATGAAACATCCGATAAGGCGTTAATATCCTAAGTAATATAAAGAACTCATACAACTTACCACCAAATGGCAAATAATCTGATTAAAAAATGGGCAGAGACTTGAGTTTCTCCAAAGAAGACAAACAGATGGCGAACAGACACATGAAAAGATACTCAACGTCACTAATTATCAGAGAAATGCAAATTAAAACCATGATGAGACTTCACCCTACACCTGTCATAATGGCTATTTTCAATAAATCAACCAACACAAAGATTGGCGAAGATGTGGAGAAATGGGAACCCTTGTACACTGTTGGTGGAATTGTAAATGAGTACAACCACTATGGAGAACACTGTGCAGGTTCTGCAAAAAATTAAAAATAGAATTACCATATGATTTAGCAATTCTACTTTTGGCTATTTATCTGAAGAAATCCAAACCAGTAATTGGAAGAGCTATATGCATCCCTATGTTCATTGCGGCATTATTTACAGTAGCCAAGATACAAAAGCAACCTAATGTCCATCGACAGACAAATGGATAAAGAAGTGGTACATATATACAATGGAATATTACTTGGCCATAAAAAAAGAATGAAATCTTGCCATTTGTGACAACATAAATGGACCTAGAGGGTATTATGCTAAGTGAAACAAGTCAGTCAGAGAAAGTCAAATACCATATGATTTCACTTATATGTGGAATCTAAAGAACAAACAAAACAGAAACAGACTCATAAATACAGAGAACAAACTGATGTTGCCAGATGGTTTGGGGGCCTGGGAGAAAAAGGTAAGAGGAATTAAGAAGTAGAAATTGGCAGTTACAAAACAGTCATGGAATGTAGAGGAAATATAGTCACTAATACTGTAATAACTAACTATGTATGATGTAAAGTAGGTACTAGACTTACTGGCAGGAATCACTCAGTAAGTCATATAAATGTCTAACCATTATGCTGTACACCTGAAACTAATATAATATTGAACATCGACTCTAATTGAAAATAAAATAAAATACAAATCTAATTATGTGATTCCTCTGCTTAAAACCCTTTGATGGTTCACTATCACAAAAGCAAAAAGTCTAAGGTTATAGCCTGAAATGCATGATCTCGTCTAACTCTTCAGTTCACATTTCAGCCACATTGAATGGCTGTGGTATCTACCTACACCAAGATGTTTAGCATCTCCATGTTTTTGCTCCTGTTGTTACCTCTGGTTAGAATACTCTTCCTTCCCTCTTCAGCCAGCTAAATCACTTCAGGAATTATCTACAGGATGGCATCTTTTGACACCCTCACCTATGTAATATAAAAAATATTCCATGTGTATCTCTGTCAGTGCATTCATCATATTTACTGAAATCATCAACAAGATCATCTTTTTCCCTCGAGGTGAGTCCCTCATGGCAGTGACCACGTCAGACCTTTAGCACATGGAACAGGACTCATGGTAGCAGGTGTTGAATGCATGCCTAGTAAACACCAGGACTTTTTTTGATATGAGTTAAATTTATAATTCCATTGTTCAACTTTTGCTCCATGGAGCAATAAGAATCATCTCTCCAGCAAAATATAGCATTTGGCTAGTTCATGAAAGGGTAAAGTTTAAACACCACTTATATGACATTTGCACTTACCTAAGTTGCTGTATGTTGCACTACAGGGATTTATGTCCATTGAATCTGAAATGTCTTCTTTCTCCTCTTCCCTTTCCAATTCAGGTAGGGGTAATGATGATGTGCAGCCCCTGCCATCTTCTTTCACAACAACAGTTCTGGGGTCCCAAGGAGAAAAATCCTCCGTCACTTCATGGGTCACATGACTAAAACAAAGCAGACCACTGTTAGACTGGCATTCAAAGGTCTTGCTAAAATTTAGATTTATGGAAGGCATATACTTGCCATAAATGTAAATAACTGGCCCTTCAGTCACAGCTATGGGTCATAAGCCCCAACATGCTTGTCTGAATATAACACAGTCCTTCATGAAGGCTGATACTTCTATTTATCAAGAATTCAGTTTGATAGAAGAGGTATGGTAGGCACAGAGGGAAGCCTGAGAATAACAGGTAAGGAGTGGAACTTTTTTTTTAAGGTAGGAGGTGGTGATGGTGGTGGTAGAGGGATTGAATGTTTAACTGGTTAAAGACAAATATAATCAAGTATTTAATGAAGTATTTAGCATATTTACTACACTACAGTTCTATTATACTAGGATAAATATCAAATACTTTACTATATAGTATTTATTTAGTATATAGTATTTTACATACTAAAGTATTAAAATATTTAGTAAAGGATCAGGAATAAAGTTGAAATTAGACTATCTACTTTATTTTACTTTACAACATGCTTAATATTGTATTATGCTTACTGTAAATATATTACAACCCAGATATATCCCAAAATGTTAACAGTGATTTTGTAATTTGAGGGTTACAAGTGATTTTTTAAAAATTAGTTTCAAGTATACAGTACATTGGTTGGACATTTATATCATTTATAAAACGATCCCCCTAATTGCTCCTTCTCTCCTCTGGTTTTCCACCTAGCTAATATATTAATGCTAACTACGTTCTCTATGCCGTGCTGAAATTAGACTACTTAAACAAGGAAGCTAAGCAATTGTTTTAGCAGATAAACTGAGGCCAGGAAAGTCTTGTTGCCAAGATTGTGTTCCCAATCTTGTTTCACTTCTCTGCCTGCTCACCCTGCCTGAACTGTTAATTTCTGTTGCTATAAATTACAAGAGAATAGAATGGTCATTAAATATTGGTGGAGAAAACTGGCTTAGAAAATCTCATTGGTCAATGAAATAAATTCAAAATCAGGCATCTTTAATGGTCCACTGAAAGTGTTCCTGGACTGTCACACACTCATCTGCTCTTCTTCCTGTTTTTAATTTTATTTTTTTTTTAATGGGTAAAGAGACAGAAAGAAAAGAAATATATCCTATTGCATATTATTTCTGGGTTTGCAACTGGCAATGAGTCATGGTGATATTTACAAGTTTCTTTGAAAGAGGTACTCTGTTCAATCATGTGTCATCAGAACATATACCACCTGAGGATTTGAGGAAGTAGATCTGAAGGAAGAGCAGCTTCTTATCAATCTTTCATTATTGAAATTGTTCAGGGACATTTCTGTTCAAATGTGCCTAAGCAGAAAAATAAGCCTTGTAGTCTGCTGAATGTACAACTTCAAAATGTTTTTGAAAGCTGGTAGAGCCAGGGTCTCTCTATACTGAGAGTGAGCAATGAGCTGGAGGTTACATCATGGGATGTGGCTCTTGGGGAGAATGCTGAGGTGGGCAGGAATCACCCCACTGGCAGCCAAGAGGGTGGGTTTATGTAAAGGAGGCCTCAGACAGTAAAGCACGCTGCCTCTTCTTAATGGGCTGCCCTTAGTTCATCAACCCCAAATTGGAGCTCCACTTCCAATCGTTAGCAAAGATGAAGCAAAGTGACACTTATAAAACACTCTCAGACACCACTTAGTGTCAAGACTGTAGATCACTGAGTACTTATCAATATGCTTCAGGAGAGGGAAAATGTTCTTTGTTGGCAAAAGTTAATATAAGCCATTTCTGATTTCAAAGCAATAAACATAAAGTGATTTAAAAATATCAGCCTCCCTTGAGAAGAAAAACGTTAAGCCTCCAAACCATTCTCTTCTTACTCTAGACTCAACTTGAGAGGTTTCTATAAAGCTGTTTTTAGGCTCTTAACATCTGCAGCCTTGCTCTTGCTTATTCTCTTTCTTCCCCTAAGCTCCTCATTATTACTAAAAGAAAGCTCTCATTTCCATTTGTCAAAAAGGACTGCTGATGGTTGGTTCAGAAACCATGACTCTACCTTCACTTATCTGATTTTCTCCTAGGAAATGAGCTATTATCAATGAGTCTCAACTATTGTGAAAACCACAGTTAGAGTTGTTGCTATTAAATCTGTGAGGAATTTCCTGGCCTGTTTCTACATACATGAATCACAGCTCTGTGCTGTTAGGAGCTTCTCAAACCAAAGTATGAATGCTAAAAAGCAAGAAATATTAATGACTCACCTACTGTAACCGCTCATACAATTCCCCATTAAAGGAGATTCTACACAGCCTTCTGGAATCTGTTAACTATGTTCTGAAGCTCGGATGAACCACAGTCCCACTGAGTTCTGGAGGACTACATACTGCGCAAGATATAAGTGGCTCCAATTCTACACTTTAATATCACCCTCTGCACCTTGACCTTTACCTTAGGGGTTTGGTCTGGGAAATGTGCCAATTACCTTCGGGGAGCTAAGCAAAGTGAAAGCTAGTTTTATTAACTCTTCGAGGACCAGGGCAGTATAACCTACACAAAAATCAGTTTTTATAAGCACATTTTAAATAAGTGTACTAGCATATTAAATCATAAATTAAAATAACTCAACCATAAACAATTTTGCAAGGAGAGTTGATGAAAGGAAAATCATATGGATTTGCAAATGGATGCTAAGATGTTTAATCTGCATTTATAGTGACAGCAGTATCTAAAAAGGAAGAATTTTAAAAAATGCATCAGTGATATGTCATGTCATATCTTGATGCTTGAGGGGAGAATAGCTCTTTATATCTTTGAAATGGCAAAATAGAGGCAGGGAAAAGGAGAAGTTTTGAGAGTTCAAGCATAGATGTGGTAACGTTGTAACTAAAAATGAAAAAGAATCAAGAACAGCATTAGAGAAGGTTGACTCTATGTATAAACAGACAAACCATTCTGAAAGGAAGGAAGTAAATTTTAGTTAGTTTACCTTAGACATATTAATTTTATAAGGGAATATAATTTTTGACCATTGATTTATTTTTTGTTTCATGTTTAGTTTTATAATCAAAATACCTCCTCTCAAATAATAAAATAAGTTTCCCAGTTCAAGTTTTATCTCCTAACAAAGCGGTTCACCACTCGCATTTCATTGGGAAGTGTTTAATATAATGGAGAAAACACCAAAATGGGAATCAGAGAACTCAGGTTCCGTTCCCCTATTACTTTGACTTTCTACAACTAGATGACAGCATCATGTAGGAAATAATGGAGAAAATGAAAATTTTCCCCCATTTCATCTATGAGACAGAGAGTAAAAAAAAAAAATCCTTTAAAATAAAATCAGAAGAAATCTACTAGAATTTCTGATACACTATATCTTAGCATGCATCTTGAAATAGCAAATAACAATGAGAGTAATAATTTTTTTCAGGGTAATTATAATTTGATAGCTATTACTATAAAACATAACTGTTAACTGATAAATGGCCCACAAAGAGGAAGTTATGGCTTTTCTATTTATATATTGAGATAATTCCTAGTTCTATAATGTAATGTAGAATGCTTGCAATAACTATTGCATTGACATGTTGGTCCTTGATAGGTTCGGCCAAACCCTGACAGCCTGCTCTTATCCTGGACCCTCAGCGTTCATTCTGCTTTCATATGGGAAGACATAACAAGTTTGTCTTTACCTCAAACTCTTCCACAAACTTTTCATTAATGACTAGTTTTTAATTAAGATTTGGTTTATCTGACCTGACATGTAAAAAAACAAATCACATGATAATCTCCACAAAGAGATCTCATTTTCTGAACATGGAGAATGAACTTAAGGTGTTCATAGGAAACAGTACCAGTTTCAGTTATTTCTGTTATATAAATGAATCCCTTGGTAAGGTGTATCTCATCAGTCTGCAATATTTATACATAATTCAAAACTGAAAAAGCAATCTCCTAAGGGAAGCTCATCTGGCTTACCCGGGTGGTAGGATTAATTATTACAGCATCAAATAAAAGAATACACCCCCCACCACCCCTGGAAAATTCATTCAAAGCAGATTTTTGTAAGAATTCAATCAAATGTCTAAATGTACATTTTTAAAAGGCAAATCAGATTCCACATTAGGTGAGAGTAAATGCCTTAGGTACCCTAGTATTTCCACAATTTCAGTTCAACTTTATCTTCAAATTCAACTACTTTCATTCAGCCTCGGAAGGGACAGTAAATGAAATCAGGCTTCTATAGAGACCATCTGCCTCTTGTGGCAAATGATACTCTACATTCCTATTTGCCAGTTCTCTTCAGAAGCCACATTATCTCTAGTTGCCCAAGACAGACAATAAACAAATGTGTGATTTTTAAAACTTCCTTTTATACCTTTTCTGATCAAAGCACATCAGAAACAGCATTTCATGGTTTTGTTACTGGTTTCTAAAGCTGATTTCTGGGATTACTGAGGATGACGGACCTTTGCAGAAATGGGATGTGCACAAATACGTAAGGAAGAAAGTTCAAAGTTATCAAATCTCACATCTTTAATCTACTAGAAGGGGGAAAAACTCCATTCCTTTCTGTCTCTCTAACCCCCTACCAAAAGTGAAATTTCTTAATCCTATCTTAGTTTCCAGCTCATGAACTTGATTTTGCTACATTTTCCAATTACTGACATTCTCAGGTAGAAAAGTGTTCTGTCCACGGATCACTATTTTAGTGTCTCCAATTTTCCACTAAGGCCTTCTGTAGTCTCTGTAGTCTTCTGTAGAAATGTGAAGAAAACTTCACATTTCTATCCCTGAGATTAACTTTTAACCGAAATCTGATGAGTTCTTGCTAATATGTCTAACATAGTCTGATAAAGCAAAGGTAGCTCTTACTGGTGTGGATGAAGTGGCTAGATCTTGGGATGAGGAAGGTCTTGAATAGACTCTAATTTTCAGACACTGTAGTTTCACTTTTTCTTTTTTAACAGATGTGAATAGCAAATTAAAAGTGGCTTCAAGACGGATTCCGGTCAAGATAGTGGC